TTTTGTACCCAAGTTGCTACAGTCCGATTTATTCCATGAGCTCTAATTTTGCTCACCAGATCTGCAATACTGTGTCAAATACCTTCCGTTGTGGTGTACCTGGATGGGTGCAGCTCCATCAACATTCAAGAGGCTTGACACCATCCAGTACAAAGCAGTCCACTTGATTGGCACCACATTCACTCCCTCCGTCACTGATGCTCGGTAGCTACAGTGTGTACCATCCAAGAGACGCACTGCAGGAATTTGCCAAGGCTCATTCGACAGCACCTTCCCAAACCTGTGGTATTTACCCTGTAGAAGGACAAGGGCGGCAGATACATGGGAACGCCTCTCCCTGCAGTTTCCCACCTCTCACCTAAGCCGCTCACCACTTCATTTTTGGAAATATATCGCAGTTCCTTCAGTGTCACTGTGTCAAAATCCCAGAACTCCCTCCCTGACAGTCTACGTAATCCAAAGTGCAGCGGATAAAGAAGACAGCTCACCAGAACCTTCTCAAGGGCAGTTAGGGTGGGGTGAGCAAAAGATGCTGGCCCAGACAGCGACACCCATACCCCACAAGTGAATTTAAAAAAACAAGCACTGCCCTAATGAACTCTCTCTCCCACCTCATCAAAAACAATACCCTATCAGTCCGTTAAACACGATTTTCCCTGAAGAAATCTCTGCAGGCTTTCCTTAATTAAGTTGCATTTATCAACGTTATTAATTTGTCCCAAATTATTGTTCTTTGAAGCTCCCCAACCACTGCTAGTCTGTAGTTGCGTGGTTTAACCTTACATCTTCTTTTGAGCAAAGGTGACGCCAGTTCTTTCCCTGTCTTCTGCAATTTGTTTTTTCCTTCAAGTATATCCAACTGACTCCATCTACACTTCACCTCTGCACTTCTCACCGCCTCGGAAAGGCAGCCAACATCCTCAAATACCTCTCCTACCCCGGTTATAATCTCTTCCAACTTCTTCCATCAGGGAGAAGATACAAAAGCTTAAACACATATATGATCAGGTTCAAGAACAGCTTTTTCCCCGCTGTTATTAGACTTCTGAATGGACCTCTCAAATTTCAAATCTAATGCATTTTGTGCACCTTCTTTGCAGCCTTAACATGTATTCCTTGCTCTGTTCAATCACCCTATGATCTCTGTGTCTTTGTATGTTGTGATCTGCCCGTACTGCACACAAAACAAAACTTTTCACTGTACTTAGGTACATGTGGCAATAATAAATCAAATCAAATCAAACCAATTCCTGTTTGAAACCTCCTGTTGAAACTCAATCCAAAACCCAATCAAGCAGTGCATTCCAATCCAAACTATCGCTGTATGAAGTAGAGATAACACAGTGTGGAGCTGGAGGAACACAGCAGGCCAGGCAGCATCAGGGAAGTTGACGTTTTTTTCTGAAGAAGGGTCCCGACCCGAAACGTCAACTTTCCTGCTCCTCTGATGCTGCCTGGCCTGCTGTGTTCCTCCAGCTCCACACTGTGTTATCTCAGACTCCAGCATCGACAGTTCTTACTGTCTCTATCGTTGTATGAAAGTCTTTCCCCATGTTGTGGTTACACTAATTAGCAATAACTTCACACACATAGACACAATGCTATCAACCTTTCAGCCATTGAAGAAAGTGAACTTTCTGTTTTGTTAATTTCCAGTTGCCTAAGCTGTTTGTAATGATATTGAATCTTTTTTTCACCTTCTCTGCTTCAAGGAGCACTACCCTAGTGTTCACAGTCTATCCACATAACTGTAATCTCACATTTTTGGACCTCTTACTGTAAATCTCTTCTGTCCCCTCCCCAAAGACTTCTTGTCCTTCCTAAAGGGTACATATCCAGAACTGTACTCAGTAATCCAGCTGAGGCTGTACTAGTGTCGTCCTGCAGGTTTCGTATAACTTCTTGGCTTCTACACGCGACATCTCTATTTATAAATCCGACCCATGGAATACTTTATAAATATATGCAGCAAAATCTTGGCTTTCAATTTCACTAAACCTTTAATAATCCGGAGACACCTAACAAAGCCCCTTGTTTACTGGTTTGACTGTTCTACAGAAGAGTCTCAGAGCGACGCGAATGTATTCTGTAATATTCAGGATTCTGGAAATGCAAGATATTCTTAGAAAATTATTTGGCGAAAAACTTATTCGAGAGCGTTGCCCCAGCACAATGCATCGTTGAGATTGTTCATTTGCGAGATGGGAACATTAGTCTCTGTTAAGGCCAGCATTTGTTACCTACCCATCCCCTCATTGCCTTTCAACCTTGGGTGTTGGTTTTCTTTAGAAACCAGAAGAAACATTTGATGTTCGCACATACCATTCCACTGAGAGTTTGTCATGGTGCCACTTTTAAAGTTGACATGTTAAATACTTCACCTTACGTCATCGTAACATCAGAAGATGATACGTTGAAGCTTAGAGAATAGGAGCCATTCAGGCTTGCCTTGCTAGCTAATATGATCATAGCTGCTCATCCATACATTGTTATCTTAGAGTCATAGAGATGTACAGCACAAAAACAGACCCTTCGGCCCAACCCGGCCATGCTGACTAGACATCCCAATCTGACCTCGTCCCATTTACCAACATTTGGCCCATGTCCCTCTAAACCCTTCCTATTCATGTCCCCATCCAGATGCCTTTTAAATGTTGTAATTGTACCAGCCTCCACCACTTCCTCTGGCAGCTCATTCCATACACACACCACCCTCTGTGTGAAAAAGTTGCCCCTTGGGTCCCTTTTAAATCTTTCCCCTCTCACCTTAAACCTATGCCCTCTAGTTTTGGACTTCCCCAACCTGGGGAAAAGACCTTGGCTATTCACCTTATCCATGCCCCTCATGATTTTATAAACCTCTATAAGGTTCACCCCTCAGCTTCTGCCGCTTCAGAGAAAAATACCCCAGCCTATTCAGCCTCTCCCTATAGCTCAAACACTCCAAACTCAGCAACAACATTTTATATCTTTTCTGCACCCTTTCAAGTTCAGCAACATCCTTCCCATAGCAGGGAGACCAGAAGTGAATGCAGTATTCCAAAAGTGGTCTAATCAATGTCCTGTACAGCCACAACATGCATGGATTTCCATCCACTGACTCCATCTGTACTTCCCGGTGCTTTGAAAAGGTAGCCAATATTATCAAAGACCCCTCCCACCCTCTTCTGTCAGGCAGAAAATACAAACGCTTAAACACGGGTACCAACAGGTTTAGGAACAGGTTCTTGCTGTTATTAGAGTTTTGAATGGACTCTCAAATTTCAAATCTAGTGTTTATCTTGAGGTTGTCGACTTGCTCGCTGAGCCGGTAGGTTTGGTTGCAAACGTTTCGACACCCTGCTAGGTAACATCATCGGTGCGCCTCCGGTGAAGCATTGGTGTTCTGTCCTGCTTGTTATTTATATGCTTCGGTTTGTTGGAGTGGTTGGTATCACTTCCGCTTCTGTGGAGGCCTGGTATTCCAACCGGAACTCCATTAACAAACACATTGAATGAGACTCTGTGTACAGACCACTGAGAAACAGAAGCGGAAGTGGTACCAAACACCCCAACAAACTGAGGCATATAAATAACAAGCGGGACAGAACACCGACGCTTCACCGGAGGTGCACTGATGATGTTACCTAGCAGGGTGATGAAACATTTGCAACCAAACCCACCGGCTCAGCGAGCAAGTCTACAACCTCATCCACATCCCGAGCTACAGATCTTCTTGAAAACTTTAATGTTTGTCTTGCTTTTTGTGCAATTTTGTGTAACTTTGCATTCCTTGCATTGTTCTGTTACCCAATGCACTTTGTATGGTATGATCCGCCTGTACTGCACGCAAAAGTACAAAACTTTTCACTGTATTTAGGTACATGTGACAATGATAAATCAAATCAAAAAGTATGAGAAGTACTTCTTCCTTTCTGAGGCTTATCATTGACAAAACTAAACGTCGAAAAAAGGTCAAATCGCTTGATGGTTTAGAGAGTGACCTGCGCATTCAGCATGAGAGATGGGCAACATTATGCCTACCATTCTCTGTCAGAAGCACCATGTAACCTTGAGCTGCCAGATCCATCCACTCTCCTCTCCCTCTTTCCAGATGTATTGAGAGGGTTTAATCTCAAAGTTGCATGACCTGGCAGATTCCCAAATTGTTAGTAACCCTGACTTTTTTGGCTTCCTGCAAATTTCCAGCACTTGCTGGTTTTATTTCATGTTTAATTTTAATGCTAGCCACCAGAGCAAAAGCAATTTCTTGAAGGCAGTTACAATTACAACATTTAAAAGGCATCTGGATGGGTATATGAATAGGAAGCGTTTAGAGGGATATGGGCCAAATGCTGGCAAATGGGACTACGTCAGATTGGGATGTCTGGTCAGCATGGACGAGTTGGACCGGAAGGACTGTTTCCTTGCTGTATGACTCTATAACTATATCTAACTGTAACAATTGGCTGAAACACAGTGAATCTCCCTTGACATTGCTCATGATGGGTCAAAGGATACTTTATTTTGAGATAACTCTATCAACAAGTTATAACAGAATGTCAAAAATAAGTTCTTGGTCATGTACGAGATACGAAACACTGTATTCCTAGTAGGTTTCCTAAAGCATTATTTGAGATTGGCGGTCAGTTAGCTCAGTTTGCTGGATAGCTGGTTTTGTAATGCAGAGTGATGCCAACAATGTGGGTTCCGTTCCTGTAGCAGCTGAAGTTACTATGAAGATGCCACTTTGCCCGAGGTGTGGTAACCCACCGCCAGTTGTTTCTCTCTGATAAGAAAGTGGGACCATGTTGACGGTATATTTACTTGTTATTCCTGGTGAACGAGAGGATGCATCTACTGTAACAGTAGAGATGTAATGGATGTGTGAAGGGCTACTGGAATTAAATGTGTCCCATGTGGGAAGCGTGAGCGTTATATGCGAGGTGTTTAATATATTATCAGTATATCAATATAGTAACACCGTCTACGCGTTGTGTCCAATTTTCTGAGTGAGCCTAATGGCTAGGTGAGTGGTCCCTTATTTTTTTAAGCAGCTTCTGCTTCCAAGCCATTTCTTAGGAGAAAGCAGGACCACGGGAGATAGGGCGCACATGCAGTAAATCTTAGAATCCAGACAGTGCGGAAGGAGGCCATTTGGCCCATCAAGCCTGCACCAGCCCTCTGAACAGCGTCTGAACAACTACTCAGAGAGTGGTAAGGGCGTGGAATGCCCTTCCTGCAACAGTAGTAGACTCGCCCACTTTAAGGGCATTTATTGGCGCAACATCGAGGGCCGAAGGGCCTGTACTGCGCTGTAATGTTCTATGTTCTATGTTCTGTGTCCCACCCTATCCCTTGACCCCACATTTACCGTATCTAAACCACCTTGCTTACCCTGAACATTATGAACAATTTCAGTTCTGGGATGGTTAGCACTGCTGCCTCACAGCGCCAGGGACCTGGTTTGATTCCAACCTTGGGTGACTGTCTGTGTGGAGGTTGCAGATTCTCCTCCGGGTGCTCCGGTTTCCCTCCCACAGTCCAAAGAGGTGCAGATTTGGAGGATTAGCCATGGGAAGTGCAGTGTGGGTGTGGGTGGGATGCTCGTCTGTGGGACAGTGTGGACTCAATGGGCTAAATAGCCTGCTGATTCTACGAATTCACCTAACCTGCACGTCTTTGGACAGTGAGAGGAAACCAGAGCTCCCGGAGGAAACCCACGCAGACACAGGGAGAACATGCAAACTCCATGCAGACAGTTGCTTGAGTTTACAATCGAGCCCAGGTCCCTGGGCACAGTGAGGCAGCAGTGCTAACCACTGAGCCATTGTGTAGAGAAATGGGAAATGTTTTAAGGTCAGGTTTCTGAGGTGGATTAGTTTTGTTGGGGTTGGCAGAACAGTCAGTGTCTGGAGGGTCCCCTCCAGGTGCAGTCTGGGGGAATCCCGGTATTCCAAGGAACCTGTTCCTCCTCTCTCACCCTATCTGCCTCATCTGAGTTTCTCAGCATGTTCTGTTTCCACAAAAAGGGAAGCAGGGCTGGTGTCACGAAGGGTGACTAACACATGCACTGGACTTCCGCATCTCTCAATATGAGCAAAAAAGGCAAGAATCATTCAAGAAGATCTAAAGGTTTAGGGAAGCGTGTATTTTCCTTCTAATTTAAATGGCAGGCCTTTGTCAGTTCCATTTTTTCAATATTAGAATTTAGTGGAGTAGATCAAATTTGTAAGTAGGACATTATTATTGACTAAAAACCAATAAAACTGTGGATGCCGTAAATCAGAAACAAAAACAGAAATTGCTGGAAAAGCTCAGCAGGTCTGGCAGCATCTGTGGAGAGAAATCAGAGTTAGCATTTCGGGTCCAGTCCTGAAGAAGGTCACTAGATCCAAAATGTTAACTCTGCTTTCTCCGCATCGGTGCTCGAGCAATTTCTGCTTTAGCAGCATTGTTGTTGACATTAGGTACAAATTTTAATGAAATTCTAACCTGTATTTGTTTCCCCAGGAGAGCCCTCATTCTCTGTGCTGTGCTATGTTGTACTTGCTACCTGGGACTTGCACAAGTACTGCCTGAAGGTAAGGTTTGTTTGATTATTAACTATTTATCAATAGAATAGTGTCATTACAGGTCTGATGTCTGAAATCCCCCACCCTTGAGACAGAGACTTTACTGGATTTTGGGTTACCTGTCAGTATTTACAATAATTTCCAACCCCAGCCCCAGATTCCCATCTATTTCATGGTCTCTCCCAAATTCACTTAAAATAGAATTCCTATAGTGTGGAAATGGGCCATTCGGCCCAACGAGCCCACACTGACCCTCCGAAGAGCATCCTCCCCAGACCCATACCCCTACCCTATCCCTGCATTTCCCATGGCTATTGCACCTAAGCCTACACATCCCTGAACACTATGGGCAATTTAGCATGGCCTGTCCACGTAATCTGCACATCATTGGGCTGCGGGAGGCAACCGGAGCACACGGAGGAAACCCACACAGACACAGGGAGAATGTGCAAACTCCACACAGAGAGTCGCTTGAGCCACTGTAACAATTTCAAAGCTCTCCACTCTGTTGCATATTACGAAGATATGAAACAGGAGCTGGAATAGGCTGTTCAGCACCTCAAATCTCCTCCACCATTGAATAAAATTGTAGATTAACCAGTTGTAATCTCAAATCTCCTCCACCATTGAATAAAATTGTAGATTAACCAGTTGTAATCTCAAATCTCCTCCA